GGTGGAAAATGAATACAAAGAATGTTTGCTCAGTCAATTACTATTGTATGGAACTAAGGCATTGCATAGTAATGTAAGCAGCGAATATTGCTTTCCTTTTCACACATACAACACAACGAAATACGCGGATGAAATGAGTGGAAACTCGTTTCTGCGAGGCGATTCATTCTCAACTGTGAATAACAAAAAGCAATGACGAGTAATGCAATCGCTCGTGATGACTCCATCAAAACTGTAGCATACTCTTTAAGTAAGACAGAAGAAATCATCAAACAAGACTGTATCTCATCAAAACTAACACGTGAATGAGAGTTAAAGTCACATGGAAACACTAGATTTGCGTTTTTTAATTTCTCGAGAAGCACTTGTAGAACTTTACGAGAAATTTCAACTGTTACTTCAAAGATCCCGTACAAATTCACATTCAAGCATTCTGCATGTACAAACAACTGTTCATAATTATTTACAATTCATCTCGAAAATGGAATAATAATGAAAATCATCAACACAACAAAGCAACTCTTTCAATTAAATCGAATTCTATCTTATAGCCAATGAACTGCATAAATAATTCACTCACTCAGTACAAATCAGTGAATCGAAATTGTTACTACAGACATCTTCAAGGAATTAATCCAGCTGAATAATTTCACGAGCCATTTCTTGTAGAACTTCATGAGAAATTTCAACTGTTACTTCAGTACTCAATAGAAACTGCAGCGATTACTGAACAAAAATCAACCTCAATAAGTCATCAAAAAACAATAATAACAATAATGAAAAACAAGAAATTCACGTCAAGCTGCTGCTATAATAATCACGACGACGTTTCTAAGATATGACGTCCGCATCAACTACACAATGGCACATTAAGGTGCATTGTATGTCACTATGAAATGCTAGTGATAAGATGATAAACGCTGATAAAAGCTGATTTTACGATACTGATTATCGAAGTGCTATTAAAAATACAATACAATGATAACAACGGAGTGTCAGAAAACAATGATGGTGTAGAATGATTTGTGAAAGCATTTCCAGATGAGAGCAATCATCTGGGAAAACAGCCACATTTCCAATATATCAAATAGCAACCAAACGCAAAACTATACTGATGTGACAATAATCACATTGCATTATTCATATGAATATTAACAATAATAATCAAAATGATCACAAGAATTTCTTCATCTATTAACATTATTATTCATATTATAAGTCACGAAAAAACATTCAAACGATTCTCATTAAATCAATTGAACTGAATCGAATGTGCTGCATTTGCATCAACTGTAAAAATGCCCACAACGTATCTTCAGTTGCAAATCCAACGACTATCATTATGAGGATTCAACAAATTAAGCACCAACTTCAAAAAGAAAGTAAGAAATCAGAGCACAATAACAGCATAACACCATTGACAACAACATCATCAATCAAAATAAAGCTTATTATATTATGGAACGACATACACCAGATGACTATTTATTTCTTGATAACTTTCATCACTTCTTCCGATGTCGATGCCCGTCGTTGCCACGCTTTCTATGATGACTCGTTCCACGAGAAGAGGCGCGTTTCTCGAACGGGATTGGTAGATCATCGAACTTGCTGTGATATTCTTCGACCAGCTGAAGATATTAGTGCATATTGAAACAATATCATTATTGAAACATTCTTTTATGATAACAATATTAACGCATGGTATCGCTAGCATCGTGCTGAACATCGTATTATAACAAATGTTCGAACCCACCTCACGATATCGTTCATACAAATATTCACCGTCGATGTGTTCTTTCAAACGTCGACCCTCATATTCTACGCAATACGTGTGCGGCTTTGTTGTGAGCTAAAATTACAGCAATACAAGGAAATTACTTCAAAATACAATCTAAAATTTCAATACAAAAACATATTCCGAATACCTTTGGCAAAATGCATCCGAAAATTTCAAAACTTCTGAAATTTACAGAAACATAGCAATAACCTTAACAAAAAATGCTCTTCAGAAACAATAAATGTTCCTCATTACTGTCAGCTTTCATTACTGAAAAATGAGAAAAGCAAAGAAAAAACGCATCAAAACCGTACAATCCCGATCATGTTTGACGAGTGAGAAAAAAAAACAAAAAAAAACAAAACAAATAGTAAACGCAAATGAAATCAAAAACGAACATGTGAACCAATTATGCGTTTTGGTTTCCATCCTTTTGCTATACCACTCTTCCAGCTTTTGGGGAACACTGAAATATAATACGGCAGCAGTGAAATAATAATACAGATGATGACGACAAAAATAATGAATAAACGAAAATTGAATCGAAAAATACCCAGTTTTTTCATCTCTTCCTCTGTACCATTCCATGTTGACGGCAGCTCGTCCAACTCGTCATCCCAATAAGGCACAGGCAAACTTCTACAAAAGTGAACATCTTTTCAATGATTCAAAGGAATTTCCAATTGACTTTTCATGAACTTCCCGGACTTGCTTCGTCCTCTAGTGGAAAAGTTGACTGCAAAAAAATACTTCGAGCAAAAAATGGAAGAAGAAAACCATTGCAACAGCAATAAATAAGAAATATGCACAAAAAATGAAATGTAAATCGCATCACTTACTTATCTTTGCATGCTGGTCTTAGAGAATCACGAAGAAATTCTGCAACTGAACTCTGGCAACTGATCTGCAATAATAATTGTTATCATAAAGAATAATAACAGCATTAATAGAAATAACAACATTAATAACAATTAATAATAATAATAACAATAATAATAGTAATAATAATAATAATAACAATAATAATCACAACAATAGTAATAAACACAGGAACTAACCAAATCCGCCATTGGTTGCCATGACGCTTCGTCAATGGGATACCCCTTCCACTTTATTAGAAATTCACTTCGTGTCAATGTTTTATTGTATCTATAACCCATAATGCTCTCGACTTCATACAGGTCACCATCTGACGTCGACGGTAGGTGATCTCGCCCTGGCATTATACTTATAGATCACCTGAAACCAACGGCATTCAGATCTCTTACGCTTAATACGAACGAATAAGTTCCCCAAGCGATCAGCATCCCAAAACTGCAAAAAATCAGCTAATCTTTCAAGACTTTCTGCTAAATTCCCGTCAAATATTTTCAAAATTTCACGCACAGACTTCTACGCACTATTCTTGAATAGAAGCACAGAACCACTCAGTATTAACTGATCGCTTGTTTCATTTTCAAATATGCGCCAAGAAGATCACTAAATGAATTCCCGAAACCAACACCGGACGAAATTGCCCGCGAGTAAGGAAAGTATGTATGTGAGTGTGGACAAATCTGCATGATCCATCACAACACAGTGATTAAAGTAGTCAACTGAACACAATAAAAAATTCTTCATTTCAAACGACAACAATCATAAACAATATTATTCAGCATCATTTCATCACACAACTTGTACAGCACTCAAATCATCATGCATTCAATACTATTCTTACAGTGAAAATGAACCAGACAAAACTAGAAAGTTGAACCTAAAATCGAAATGCAATTTAAGCGAAAGAGAATGTGGAAAAAAAAGATCACCATTTGAGAAAAAAATGAAAATCAAATCTCTACCCAAAAANAACTTTAAAACCTCTATAAAAATTAAAACAAAAACATTGCTCACACTAAGATATTGCAAAAAAGAAAAGGGATTACAAGAACCTCAAAAGACAAATCTAATGACTTGAAAATGGCAATGAATTCTGATGAACAAACACTACATTCATAGTAATAACATAAATAACATTCATATTAAATAAACAACGTAAACAAATATGATTAAAACGGAATGTATAATTCAAATCAAAAACATCATATAAACTCATAGTATCTACCCATCAGCAATAATAACAACGATAAATAATAATAGTTAATAATAATAACAAGTTATAATAATAATATTAATAATAATAACATTAATAATATTAACCCAACTAAACCATCGTGAACGGACACGCACAATCAAGTTTTCTGTTTCTGTTCACCGTTCTCGTCTTGCTCAAAAATAATCCTCGATTCGTAAAAATCAAATAATTTCTGAAATCATCTACATCAAACACTTCTAGATAAAGATGCATTATTAACAAAATGAACTGGAAATGAGGTAATTCCCGAAAATGTTGAGAAATCTTCAAAAAATGAAGCTTCAATTCGATGAGAGTTGAGAATAATACTTCAGAAACTGAGAAAATCCCGATCGAATATTGCCTGCTTCCTCCAATTACCCTTCGAGAAAATGATAAAATATTCCAATCTGAGAGATATCTGCTGACCTGTGTGCATTTCCTCTGCAGAACAGTGGTCCTTTCAAGTCGGTGAGAGCCATCACTATATTCCACCAGTCCCAACAAATAACCATCTGCATGTTTCTTCAAAGCCAGCACTTTATTGATTTCCTTCCCCATATTACTATTGTTATCGAGATCTAAATAATATGATAATCTTCAACATACAACAATATCATATCAAATATTCTTCCCGTTCAATTTCTCGTTGACCAATTTGCGTGTANCAACGTTTCAAACTATTCCAAAAGATGAACGATGAATTCAACAAAAACTGTCGCATTCCAAACCTTCAAGTTTTCGTTTCTTTGAACAAAGCACCGGAGATGATCTATTCTCATCGAGGAGAGTACTATCTTTATCTGTACGTTTCGGGGTTATCGTTATTGAACGTGAACGCAGTTCCCTCTTAGAAGTTGTTGCCTGGAAATTTGTATTATCACTAGGATTATTGCTATCGTTTTTGATGTGATCATTTTGTACGTAAAGATATCATGAGAAACACAACGAATACTCCAATGACTGAATGCATTGCACACCTCTTCCATTCTGTCAGAACTTCGTTCAGTCTGCCTATTCGTCGTCGCCTTCTTCGCAACACGACTTTCAAACGCTTTGATTGCTTCAGGTGCACTCACCTGTAAATTTACGAATGACTTGCATTGCTCTGCTCTCTCAGCTAATCCAAAAACAATGTACGCTCTGTTTTCTTTTGACAACTTCCACGCTTGTGCTTCCTGTTCAATCAGTCATGTGATAAGTGACACATCATTTTCAGATTAACATCACCAACATCCACAACAATCACATTACCGTCGCCATCAACACCGTTACTAATATTGATAGAATATATTATCAACAGATAAAATACAGTTACCATACAGCTTCAAGCAACATACACGAACGACTACAAAACATACACAATTTTCAGCCGGTTCCCATGTACTATCTTCTTCTGGATAACCTTTCCACTTAATCAGGTATTCCACCTTCCCGTTTCGACGAACACGTTTTCGAAGAATCTTTTCCACATCATATTGGTCTTCGCTTTTTTCACTGCCCGTATCATTTGAGCTATCATCATTATCGATTTGCTCATCACACTTATCTCTCCCACGATCAGCGTTACCAGCGCCTTTATCGTCATGATCTCGGTCGTGATCAGTATCATTGTTAACGTGATCATCACCCGTATCTTTGGCATCACTTTCGGTTATGGCACCATCTTTGATGTGAGTTTCATTTTTATCATCCTCCTCATTAGCTGTGACTTTAGTGACATCGCTAACGTTTTCTTCAGAGTTTTTTGTCATGCTTGATCGCTTGGTATGGTTGTTCTCGCTGTTACCGTCGTCCACCTTTAAATACATTCTTGTATTCTTTAATATTCTGACTGATCCAAATCCCATTTTATGCCACACTTCTGATCTTCTCATATATTCTTTTGATGTCTTCGTGTTGGTCTCACTTCTTACACACAAATATTCATTCAAGCGAGATGATTGATCTGTCTGCGAACAACGAAGACAATTGGTAGAGCTGGTTGACTCGTTTGTTTGGTTCTTCACAGGAATATATCAGAGCGAATTTATTATCTTATCGATAAGACTATAACAAATCGCATACAAAAACGAGAGAAAAACAAAAGAAAACAAACTTCGGATAGGGATGACGATAGTTGCATTACGGATTTCTTATCTTCCGGTGAACCAATAACGATTTTCGTACAGTTGCCATCCTGAAATACTGGATATCCATTGCTTGATGGCACCTCGTTTGCATACTTCTTTTCTAGATAAATCTTTGTTTGAAGAAAAACTCCGAATAGATTTGCCGAAAGCAAGTTGAGGAAACGAGAAAAAAAAAAGAGTTTCACGCGAATCTACCTCGATTGATGTGCAACAACTGCTGGTTCGGCTGCTAATCGGAACTGAATTCGTTCGCTGAACAGACGATGGTTTCGGGCGACGTCTTTCAACGAGTCGTTGATAGACGTTCCGTGTGGTGGCAGTTATGGGACCAGGTTTTGCAAACCCGAGTGCAATCAACTCTTCACGTAATTCTATATCGCTCAGATCTTTCACGCATTTCTCACGCACAGAACTTACTGTGGAATCTTGTGATTGAAGAGACACACAATTACTGAGCATTCTCTTTCTGACACTGAAAACTCATTATTAGTTTCATGGACAGTCAAGAAAGCCGACTGAATGACCACTGCATCAGTTTCAAAGAAATCGAAATTGTAATTTTGCATTTTCAATTAGTGAAATCAAATTTGTCTTCTCTTTGTTCACATCTGCAGTTGAATGTGCAGTGAAGATAGAGGGATGCTGACAGTTCGCCAATTACGAACGGAGTGACAGTTTGCCAAGTGACGGAAGTGAGATTTACATTTGATATATGTTCAGAAATGTGAATTTCTTACCTATTCAACGGGA